AAAGACAAAGTTGTTGATGGAGCTGGATTCGTAAAAGACAAAGCTGGCGAAGCATATGATACTGTTGCACCTAAAGTTGCTGAAGGTGCCGAATATTTAAAAGATAAAGCTGGTGAAGCATATGATGCTGTTAAACCAAAAGTTGTCGAAGGTACAGAATATTTAAAAGAAAAGGCTGATGAAGCTTATAAAACTGGAAGTAAGAAAACATATTTTTATTCTCTGTCATTTTTTTTTGTTTCTGGAACTATTTTTATTTTTCAGGTAAACTCGCCGATGAATATGGTGAAATTGGTAATTGAAATTTGTTTATTTTATTTCAATGGTAATTGTTTTTTTTTTAATTTTTATAGCCAAAGATAAATTATCTAAAATTGCTGATGATGTCAAAGCTTCAGGTAAGAAAAAATTGATATTGGATTTTTTTTTTAATGAAATACTTTTTTTTTAGCTCAAAATTTTGCTGATGATGCAGTTAAAGCTAGTCAAGAATATGCAAACGAAGGTGTAAAACAAGGTCAAAAATTAGGTGAACAAGCTTTCGAAGTTGGTAAAGATAAAGGTTAGATTCATATATATATATTTCAATAATTAATAATAATAATAATAATCTTGTTTTTATTATTTGCAGCTAATGAAGCACTTAAAGCTGCTAAACAAGCCAGTAAGTTTTGTTGTCTTCTTTGGTTAATCTATAGTATTTTGTAATATTGTGTAGGCATCGATGCATATGAAGCTTCACTTGAATTAGGTGCTGATGCTGGTAAAAAAGGTCGAAAATTAGGTAAATTAATTTCTTTTTATTCAATATTAATCATTTTTTGTTTCTGTTAGCTGAACAAACACTTGAATTGAGTCGAGATAAAGGTAAAAATTTGTCTATTTTAGCTTCCATTATAATAAATTTATTGAAATTATTTTAGCTAATGAAGCATTGAAAGCAGGTAGACATGCTGGTAAATAGTTTCTAACCAAAATTTTTGAAATTTATTTAATAAATTATTTAATTTTAGGTGAAGATGCAGTTGAATCAGCGCAAGAATATGTCAAAGATTCGAAAAAGAAAGCACAGAAAAAAGCAAGAGAAACTACTGAAGAAGCAAGTGAAGCAGCACAAAAACGTAAACGAAAAGCTACAGAATTGTAAATAGATGTAAAAATACATTTCTTTTTTTCTCTGAAATATAAGTTAATCACGAGTCTTATGTTTTCTTTACGGCGATATTTTGTGTTTATTCAAGCTGTTAACCTGTGTTTCTTGTTTATATATATATATATTTTTTTGTTCAGTTCTATTAAATAAAATAACCTATGCAAATTCATCTGTATTTTCTCAGCACATTCTTTTTTTTTTTGGTTGATTTCTTTTCTTATTAAATGTAATACAAAAGATAACTATATCATTGAAGAATGTAAATGTAATTCAGTTCAACAAAACTGACTATCGATATTCATGTTTTCAATAATTGAACAAGAGATAATCGTCTCATTCGCAATGCTTATTCGTAAGATTCATTCAATATCTTATAAATTTATCTTTTTAGTGTACAGCTCATTTGATCTATGATAGTGTACACAATTAATAGACAATTCTAAATTAGATTTTTTATAATCAAAATTTACGATATGTTACCAAAAAAATGCTTGATTTCATTTGGAAAAATCATTGCTCACTCCCACTACGCTGGTTTCGGATTTAATATAGTTCCGTCCATTTATTTTTTCCTAATAAGCTTTACTAAATTCTGTTTTCGTGAAATAGTTATTAAGCCATTGAGATCTCTTTGAATCTATCTGATTCTTATAATCATATAACGGAAGACCTATGCCAATACTTACTAGAATAGGTCCTCAACTGTCAGCCACCGTTTCGAACCGCAGACAGATTAGTTGATGTAGAGCTCGACTAGCTAATTTCGGTGACATAAAGCTTTTTTCTCATGGAGCTCTCAATCAGAAAAACATTCGATGTTATTTATAGAGGATCCTATGAAAGATACTGAGTTTTCTAGATATTGTGTTTCGTGAGAGTCATATGTAATAATTGATTCCGTCACATTTGGCTGTCCATTCTTATAAGCGAAGCTAAGAAATGTGTATGTATACCTAAATTTGCTTATATGAATAATGCTGTCATTCTGCGAATAAGTTATTTGTATATTAGACTCTACCACGTATCCGTAGTCTTTATAGAATACCATTTAATACATTCTAATGAATTTAAGATCAAAATGAAAAAATTCTTTTCAACTTTTTTTCAACTTGTTTTTTTCTTATATTTAATAATTGATCACAATGACTATTACAGAACAGCTTGTCCAGCTAATGGTGACCCAGCACGACCAAAGTTGAGCAGAAGATTTCTCGAACATAAGACGATCGAACTTATCCATTCAAAAATTTTTTATAGGATTTCGTATATTCCCTATTGATAGATATCATTTGTTTTGGATAATGACGAGAAGAAATAGTGGTCGCCAGCCAAAATCAAGCCTTTTTTTTGTGCAAAAATAATGAAACAGGAGCCTTATTGTCTGTTATCATATTTCGAACACTACTTTATCGTTTAAAAAAAATGGAAATAATAGTGGTATTACCGAAGATGTAGCTACAGTTCGGCATCAATGAATCACCTTCTATTGTTGTCAAAGCTATAAAAAAAAAAGTGCTTTTTTTAATGAACCCAAAAAAGTTGATGAGTGCGTTACCGTAATATTTTGGTGATAACTCTTTGTAGGAACAAGCTTCCAAAGAAAATACATTTCACCATCATCAGGTCTGTTGTCTTAACTTCAAACACAGATAAAATCATTTGATTCAGAGCGAGAAAATTTTTAGGAATGTGACCTTTTTTGAGTGGTTCCGATGGAAGGAGTCCTTTTGAGAATGAGTGCGTTATCACCACTTTCTATCCTTCTAGAATCGTTGCAGTTCGACCAAATGAAATGAAAATTTTAGTGAAACTAGAACTTTCATATATCTTGCTGCAGTGCAAGTTTCAGTTCTTTGTCACCTTAAGTTATCGAATTATAACAATCAGAAGGTCAAAAATGGGTGAGTGCATTACTTGTGGACATACTGAGAAGTTCTCAAAGCATACCAAACAATTTTTAAGTATGAAGATAATTAATCAATTCTTGTTTTATTATTTTTTTATTTACTTTCCGTCTATAAAATAGGATGTATTTTCTTAATAAAATATTTTCTATGTATTCAGTAGACATTGGACATAACAGAAACATAAAACAATTGAAAATTATTATCTATGATTTAGTACACAACTTGTGAAAAAACTATAGACAATCGCTATTTGCATATTCATTTGCAAACATAAAAACGCTGTTCATTTCAAAATTGGCTATATTTTAAATTTTGATAGTAGCCAACATCTAAAAATTTCCATATACTAATTGAAGAAAAGCATCATGTCTATGAAGACACAAAGTGATTTCTATTTTATTTTCAAGTTGTAAGTCTGATATTGCTTTTTTAATACTTCCATATTGTGTCTTATTGATTTTAACAGTTGATTTTAATTATTATTATGAGAGTTATATTTACATGATTATCAATAATCTAGAATTAATCAACAGTCTTCATGTCAGTTGATATAATAGTTAGTTGTTCAAGATTTAAGTTCTCTAGAATTTATTATTTGTGATATATGTCAATATGATTATTAATAAATAAGTTAATCCAGATAACAATATTTGAATAACACAAAAACTTGTCTCGTTTTTCTTTATTTGCAGGTCTCTTCAACAATTTAAGTATTCTTGGATATCGAGATAAGACAACGATATGACGTGATGCTTATAACTAATCCAATATATGAATAAGATTGAAATTAAATTTCTATGATTTATGAATTTTCTTTCTTTTCAATATTCGATGAATTGATAAATATTTTATATATAACAATGAATCTAACAATATTAAGTAGAATTATCTTCTATAGTGAGTAATTCTTTGAAATATTTCTATATTAATCATTCATATAGTTTTCACATTTATTATTATCAGCTATGCTACTCGAACAATGTTATTCAACTGTGATTTTAACGCAGAAACTTCGCTCAGCTGCTCATTTATTCCATCAACAGGTCCAAATCTATTGACTTTGTCTGCTAACGCACCTGATTTGACATCATGTCGAAAACCTAATCGACCATTATCAGATGCTACATCTGTTAGTAAGTTATATTCTAATCATTTCTATTTCAAACTTACGTTTATTTTATTTTTTTTTGTTACTCCAATAAATGATCATATGTGCAACTTACCTTATAAAATTAATAAATGGGATATGCATTTTTGTTTAAGACAAAACACAACAAATATTTACACATGTCCTACATTTATATCAAATATGAGTGTGTGTGCATCAGGTAAGATTCTACCGAAATTTTCTCTTATGAACATTTATTCTGACAATACAGGTAAATATGGATTCACTTTTACTAATACTACAAATAGATTTGAGCGAACTTACACATCATTTGTGAGAAATAGCACAGTAGATGAACAATGTCTGACTTTTTATTATTATTTTACTGATGCATCAAGAAATCCAAAGATTGATGTTCTATTCGGATCACCATTTGGAAGTAGTCTGGATGATACTATCATTGTTACAGTAATACCTCAAACAGACAATAAATGGTATAAAAGTGAAACTTCATTTTTCATAAATTTTACAAATTATGCAGTAATTGTTGTTCTTATTGTTTAAATATATCAAAATATCTTTTTTTCTTTCATAAATTATCTTCAGCTTAAATTCAAACTAACTCGAGATAATGGTATTGATAGTACAGAATTTTATTTTGCACTTGATAATATATTAATTACAAGTGGATTGTGTGGTAAGACATTCATCTTTTTTTAAAGTTATTTTCACAACAATTAAATATGACAGAATTAGATTTAGATAACATCACGTTGTCCACTGTATGTTAATAAAATTTTAATTCAATTGTAATTTCATAGTCAATGTCATTTATTGTAGGACGAATCAATATTAACACAATTTACTTCAACTACGTAAGAAATAGCTTACTTATCTTTTTTTGAAATAATTCAAAATATTGACTTAAATA